TTAATAGAATGATATAACAGTCCTTAACAAGTTTTCACTCTAGAAGAAAGAGAAAAGCAACACCATTGAACCTGTGGAGTGAGCCAAAAGTGGAGGAGTCATCCTTGACAATGCCTATCCTCAACCTCCATATCCAATTAATTGTTGTTGTTTTATGTTTTTACTATTTGATGTATGTATAATCCGTCCAATTTCTCCATCTCTAGTGCTCCCACCCTAGACTGGGCTTCTTTCATCTTTCACTGGAACTATTAAAGCAGCTAACTAACTCCTCTCTCAGAGCTCACTGCTTGCTACACTCTACCCCAGGTCTAGTCCATTCTCTGAAAAACAGAATAGCTAAAGTAATCTTTTCCAAAGACAAATCTAATCATGCAGACCCACCTTCTTTAAAATGCTTCCTTGGTTTCTATTATTTTTAGTATTAAGTAAAAAATTGTAAATAATATCCCATAAAAGCCAGTATGATTTGACTCCTGATTTCTTCAACCCCTTTACCTTGTACAGCATTTCTTCTCTCCTTCTGTGCTCCATTCTGTTCAGTCCACCCTGGCTCTCCTAGATTTCTTAAAAGATTCCAATTCTTTCTTGCCAAAGAGGCTTTGTACATGTTTTTCCCGCATTTGGAATGCTTCCTTATCCCTATTTCCACTCTACAACACACACAAATTCATCTAGTAACTTGTTGCTATATCAGCTCAATCATCTCTCCCCTGGTAAGTTAGTTCCTATTGTTTTATGTTCTCTTTGATCCATGTTACACTCCTTTAAAGTATACATCATAGATGTAAATTCACACTTACTTATGTGAATCATTAATTAAGGTCTCTGTAGCCCACTACGGAAACCCTGGTGGCGCAGTTGTTAAGAGTGCGGCTGCTAACCAAAAGGTCGGCAGTTCAAATCCACCAGGCGCTCCTTGGAAACCCTATGGAGCAGTTCTACTCTGTCCTACAGGGTTGCTCTGAGTTGGAGTCAACTCGACAGCAACGGGTAGCTCACTATATTAGAAGCTTCATGAACATAGGGACTCTGTCTTTTTGGGGGAGTGAAGTAGAGAAAGAGGAGACTTCCTATTTTAACACAGCACCTAGCACATTTCTTGGTATATAAAAAGCATTCTAATATTTATCCAAATAATTGTATGAATAATCATCAATCCTTATGAGCATATGTATTCATTATCAGTGAGAAAATATTATTATTCAAATTATGGTTAATAATTTAAATTGAGTCTGCTAAGTGGAAATAAATCTTTGTGATGTTCACAAAGATAAAATCACCAAATTACTGTTAAACAACAATAAAGTGTCCTCAACTTTATTTTATTTATTTTTTGATATATATAATTTGTTCTATGTAATTCACAGTCTTTTGGAAAGCATTTAGCATTCATGGCAAACTGCTTGAACAATTTTCTGTTAGATTTTGATGAATTTCTTCTGGGAAATCTACCTAACTGACTGTCAGTCTTGGAAGGAGCCTAATGTACTTTAACTGGTCCTTCAAAATTGCCATATTGTTATGATGCTAGAAGCTATGCTCCCAGTATTTCAAATACCAGGAGAGTGGCACATGGTGAACAGGTTTCAGCGGAGCTTCCAGACTAAGACAGACTAGGAAGAAATTTCTGGCGATTTACTTCCAAAAATTAGCCATTGAAAACACTATGGATAACAGAATATCATCAGAGACTTTCACCTGCTTACTTCAGACGAGTCACCAGGAGGGACCCATTGCAGGAGAAGGACATCATGTTTGATAAAGCGGAGGGCCAGCAAAGGTGAGAGAAACCCTCAGTGAGACTGACACAATGGCCACAGCAATGGGCTCAAACTTACCAAGATCATGAAGACGGCACAGGACCAGGCAACATTTTGTTCTGATTCACAAGGAATTGCTATGAGTCAGAGCAAACTCAAGGGCCACTAACAACAACAATAACAATGACCTTTTACCGGACATTCTTCTCTTTTTAAATCCATTCTAACAATGATTATTTGAACATTTTACTCTCCCCCATCCCTATAAAAATTTCTCTACAAAGAGGAAATCTTTGCATTAGCTTTTTTAGAAAGGCTCTCCCTTGTGGCAAATTTGAAATAAATATTTGAAATACCTTATAAGCAATTCATTTGAGAAATTGCTTTAACAGTACTAATCTGACATTGGTAAAGAACTAGCCTAAATCCAAGAGTACTTTAGTGGTCAAATGCTCTCAGATCCATTAGTGGTACTCAGACCAACCTTCCACTATGATACGTGGAAAATTCTTTTTAAAAAGCACTATGAATTTAAAACCTGTACTTCTTATTGCTTTTATTAAGAGATTGATCATTACTCAAATAAGGTCTGATTTTAAATTTTCTTTCTGTTTCAAAGCACAGGTGTTTTATATGTCTTTATGGATTACTGATTACCCTTTTTCTCCTTCTTCCTCCAAATCATGCTGCCAGGCTCAGGGGCCATGACTTTGAAGAGAAGCTGGGTTTTGTTAGGTTTTAAAGCATTGATATCAGTGCATTCATGGCAAACAATAGGTGTTCATTGAAGACTCATTCAATAGAATAATAAAAATTGACCCCAAAATCATGATGGACCAAAATTCAAGCAAATGTTCTAATAATTCAATGATAAATATTTAGAGAATATTCAAGAACTGCAGTTACATTTATATCTCATTTTAGCCATATTTATTACTTTGAGAAAAGTTACTCTTTTTTGATCATTAATCCAGCAATATTTATTGAGAACCTATGTATGATTCAATCTGCAGGGCCAGGAGATAGGTAGGAACAGGTTCTCTACCTTATTTCTGTGGTCTGGTTCTGAAGAAAGATGTGCACAAGGAAATTGAAAATAAGGAAACTGGTCTATCTCAATGTCTTATCTTTCACCGATGCAAGCATAACAATTTAAAGAGGTCCATTCTAAATGTTTTTCTTCTTGTGAAAGTAAATTTCTAGTTATCACACTACTATGTGCAATATAATTATAGGATTCTACCATTGAAGGATATAGCATATTATTAATCTCTGAATAACCAATTCCAACTTTCAATTAACAGCATAGAATGGGATAATAGAGAAGGATTACAAAAGAGACCTGTGATTATTACAAATTGAATAACAAACGTATTTTTAAGTTAAGTTGTAACATGTGCAATTCTTTTACCTCTTGAAATAACAGTTTCTAAACCAGTTCCATTAATAAAGGCCCGCTTAATGGTTTGTGTTTTAATATCCGTCCAGTATAAACGTTCCTCAGATGCATCGAAGTCTATCACTGTAACATCATCAATATCAGGGACTGTAAAGGCCGTGATAAAGTTAAAATATGGATTGTCAATATCCACTCCTCTGATTTCAGAACGCCTCACATAAAGAAGAAATTTCTTCTTTTCTAGAAATAAAAAAATAGATATTAAGTGCATTTCTCTTATGAAGTTGGCAAGTTTAAAACACTCTAGGAATTCTAAAATATTACTTGCAGACTATTTAATATATTTTTTTAACCCCATAAAATCATAACCAAGATTTGATGGAGACATTAGTGAAGAAAATGATTTATCTATTTTTAATTAAGGTACTTGGTAGAAACAAATGTAAAACAAGTTGAAATCCTAAGTCATCATTTTTCTTTTGCTAGAAATGCCAAGAAATTTCCTATGATTTATTTGATCTTGAAATTTCAAACAAACTTCCTAAAACATAGGAACTCTATGAATTCCAAACAAACATATTTGCTCTTTGTATATGATTTTAACTTATTACTGTATTGCATTAGATGCTTTTTAAAAATAGAATCTTAAGTTTTTTTCCCCATACTGTCATTGAATAAAATAATTAAACAATGGCTTTAAAAATTAGATTTCTGTTTCTTCTATCAATCATTAGTAACTAACATTGTGAGGCATTATATCATTTTATTTCCAAAGATAACTTTCTTGCACTGAATTTGTGGAATATCAGTAGGTAGCACTAGGAGTCATGGATACTCAAATCTGTTGTTGTTCTCTTTGGAAGTATTGTTATTATATGAGATAGGTTATTATTGTTTAAAATTAAAGCCATATATGCCTAAACTCATGCGTTTTCTCTTATCTGACCTTCAAAGGAATTGTTTTGCAAATAAACAAATAAACAAAACACTAAGAATAAAATGACTCCGATATTCATTCAGAAATTTTATGATTATATTTTAGTTTAAGTGTGCTGTTTAAATATTTTTTAAAAATCTTTCCAAGTTATATATTTTACTTCATTTCCTTCCCCTCTTCAAGCTGATAATCCCCTACACAATGATGCTAAAGTGACTTTAGAAGGAGAGCAGGAGGAGATTAAAGCTGTTAAATTCCTGTTTGTTGTGCCGGTTACCTACATCATCATTTTCTGGTAATGTACTTTCACTTCCAAATCTCCCTGCTTTGCAGAGATAAATTCTGCTAACACACCAAATAAGAAAGTAACAGGGAAAAAAAGAATAACGTAATAAATAGCAAAGGACAACATTTCACATATTTAAAGAATTTGTCCGTCTCCTTAAAAGCAGATGAATCATTAATAGTGTCTAGAAATAGCACCACCTAAAATGTTTTTTTTAAGGGAGTTAAAACCTCTTCTGCTTTACTCTGAATAAAATCTGAATCCTAATACAATTTAAGAGAATTCAGTTTGAATTTCAGATAAGAACAGTAATAAATTTACCATAGCAGGTCTTCTTGTCTGAGGAAAGCTTCATCAGGTGGGGGCATGCACAAGCAGCACTTCTGTTATGACTGATCAGACACATGTGAGAGCAGGGGCCTTTGCCATCATTAGCTGCACAAGGATTAGGAGCTGCAATCACAGAGTGAAATATTAACAGTGGAGAAGGAAGAATGTATTAGGGAACCTCTGAGGTTAACAGGGGTTATTCACTTAATGAGTCAAACTGAAGTTCCCTACATAGCACCCATTACTAGGGTGATTAATATGACAATAATAGATAATCATACACAGCAATTACATTAATAAAAACATTTTTCCTCCTCAAAGATTCAGCAAGAAGATAACACCTTCAATTTCCTCTAAGATGAATAGCAAGCATCCTATGGCTTTAAAGCAAATATTTTTATTTAGAGGAATCCTGAGTAACAATCAAGAATAATTATTGAATTTAGTATATAATTAACACATACAGACTACAATGCAGACATTTGGTGTTCTAAATGATGTCCTTATTTTCCTAACTTACTGTATAGACTGCTTTCTGGCCTTAGCACACCACTCTTAAAGGTTTCCCTAGGAAATTACTGTTACATATATATCGTTTCTTCAGGATACTTGGTATTTTTGAATCAGGAGGCCTATGTGAAGAAATGTTTGTCTTCCTTCATTATTAGGTCACCTATTTCTTCATCATCTTTTTTCTTTATTAGCTGATTCCATGGCCAACGTTTCCTCCACATACAGTTTACTTACTAAGTCCTAGTGTAGAAGTAACTTATGATTTATTCAAATTTAGAAAGGAATACTAAATTTTGAAGTCCAGTGTCATTCTCTCAATCTGTTGTGTTTCTTCTGTCATCATGTATTTTGGGCAAGATTTTAATTGGTCAATAACTATTATCTTAGATCTTATTTTTATAGCATGTATCTAGTAGAATAAAATCTTCAGAACTAGGCTACTAAATTAAAGGCAGAAGAGACTGACACCTTATTACCATCAAGAACAATATTTTAATTTTCAACTAAAGGTATCTTCCTAACAGGTGGACCTATTGTTCAGAGTAGTTAATATCAGTCTTGTAGGGTTTTAAAGCACAAAAATAAAAATCAAGAGGATAGAATCAAATTGTAAAGGGTATGAGAAATTAACAAAATTTAATAAACAACGTGGCTTTTGGCAGTCTTTAGCACCCCTCTCCCAACGGTGATAAAAATAATCTATGTCCTTACATTTGGTTAAAAATACTACTACCAATAATAATGAATATACGAAAGACCCAGAAACAACTCATAAGAAAATCAATTAAGAACAACAAAAATCAGAAAAGGGTGGAAACTATGGTCCTACAGATTCCTTAGTGCAATTCCTTCTATCACACAGAATAAGCTATGTATCCTGCTCTTTCTTCCCTTTTAACTTTACCAATTACAACTGAGGTCCCTAAGGAATTGCAGGAGCCCTGGAGGTGCAGCTCATCTGCTAACCAAAAAGGTTGGCAATTTAATCTACCAGCTGTTCCTTGGAAACTCTGTGGGGCAGTTTTACTCTGTCCTGTAGGGTCACTATGAGTCAGAACTGACTGGATGGTAACGGGTTTTGTTTTATTTTGTTTTGTTTTTGGTAAGGAATTGCAATTTAGAGAAGCCAAAGAGCAGATGTGAAGGTTATTGAGGAGGAAAGGCATTGCAGGAGAGAAGGCAGAATGAAGAATGCACTGTTGGAAAACTGTTAGATGCTTAGGGTCAGGGCTACAGAGCTGTGGTAAATAAAAACAGAAAACCCAATTTTTTCAGCACTTAAGAAAAGAACAGGATGAGCAAGAAAAAGAAACATACAAAGAAAGAGGAGTAAAAAGGGGGAGAAAGAAGGGGAAGAAATATGTTAAAAAAAACAACAACATTGACTTCTTAAGGGAATTAAAAGCATCATCCATGACAAGTACAATGGTAGATTCTTGGATTTCACTTTGAAGATCATTATTTTTAGCACTGAATCATACCAGCTCTTCTCAATACTCTATAAGTTTCATAAAATACATTTTAAGAGCAAAGATATTACGTTTCTATTTACATTCGAAAGTAAAATACATATATATTGATTTTGCAGCCCAATGTTTGTATTCATGATGACAGTATAATGTACAATTCACAATATTTTGTACTTCACACCAGAAAAAATCTACGAGGATTTCTTACTTTCCACTTTCATCTCTTCTTACCTTTAAAGTTTAATTTATAAACCTTTAAAGTTGTAACTTAAAGTTCCTTTTTAAACTATGCATTTGAATAGAGATGCTTATTCTAATTATTAGATTAGGGAATTTCATTCATCGTACTCACTTTTTAATATAAAGCAGGGATTAGCAAATGATGACCCTTGAGGGAAATTTGTTTCACTGCCTGTTTTTATAAATAAAGTTTTATTGGAACACAGCCATGATCATTAATTTACATATTATCCATGGCTGCTTTCACACTGCAGTAGCAGAACTGAGCAGTTTCTGCAGAGACCATATGGCTAACAAAGCCTTAAAATATTTATTATCTGATCCTTTATAGAAAATGTTTGCCAACCTCTGATATAAAGCAATTAACCATTTTATGAGAAATACTGTTGAGAAATCCAATATCAATACAGAGGTTGTAAACTCCTATAACACCAAGGCTATCTCATTTATTTGTACCCAGGAAATGGGAAAAGCTGACCAGTCAATGGAATGCTATAAACAATCTTAACAGATACTGTTATGTTAGCTGGGTTCACTAGTAGTCATGTCATCTAAATTCAGGTTGACCAAAGAAACTCAGAGACACCTCTACCAACCCCCTTTATTAAAATCCATTCAATAAATATTTATCAAATACATAGTTGTTTCCGACACTATGAAAAAAGCTAGAATATAATAGTAGACAATATATAGTTGGACCAATGAGTTCAAGATTCTATACCCTAACCCTATTCCATTCTTTCCATTTCTATGATCACTGGCTTAGTTTAGGTTCTTGCCATCTCTTGCTTGCAATAACCTCTTAATTAATCATCCTAATTATTCCCTTGGTTCCCAGATTCTCACCATTGCATGCAGTTATCTTTCTAAAACACAGACTTGATCATATATCTACCTTGCTATTAACCTTGGATGGCTTCCCACTGTCTACTTCACAAAGTCTCACCCTTTTCTCCCTGCCATTGTACCCAAGATGCCTCGGCCCTAGCCAGACATGTCTACCTTCTGTTCCCATTCACCCTCTAGTTCTTAATCCTCACTTACTCTCTGTTTATTTTATTAAAGATGTTATCAGTCTTCCAAAATCACAAAATTTCAACTTCCAAATCATTTTTTTTCATTTATCTTTCAGTCTCATATTTAGTCAATGCAATAGTTAAAGTTATGTCAACTTGGCTGGGCCATGATTCTCAGTGTTTTGGCAGATATTATGTAATCATCCTCCAAGTTGTGATCTGGTGTGAGCAGCCAATCAGATAAAAGGGGAGTTTCCTTGAGGGTGTGGCCTGCATCAGTATATATAGATATTCTGGAAAAGCTTGCCCTTTTTGGATCCTGCATCTGAATTGTCATTGTCTGACCTCCAGTTCTTCAGATGTGAGCCAGCAGCCTACCATCTGACCTGCAGATTTTGAGATTTGCCAGCTCCTGCAGCCCCATGAGCTGGCAGCCT